AAGGGTGTGGGGGGGGGGGGGGGGTGGAAAAAGAGGTGTTAGTCATCTCCCACTTCTTGTGGAAACCCAACCAACTAATGCACTTCCAGAGAAGACGCAGGAATCAGGCCAAGATACAAAATAGATGTCGAAAAGGCACAAAAATGTAAGATAAGTAACAAAGTTGGAGTAAAGTTTGAGCCGCACCTCCTCGTAGATCGACCTAAGGAAGTTGATCTCATCTGTCAGACTTTCCAGCTTGGCCTCTAACTCGACCTTATTCATGTAGGCCTCATCGACGTCCTGGTAAACAAACAAACAAACACATTTGTTAAACTGATTTGTCAACTAAAGAACTGATTTCTGCAGATGAAGTGTGAGTGGACACGGCAGTTACCTTCTTGATGAGGACAAAGTCGTTCTCACACTCTGTGCGCTTGTTGATCTCGTCTTCATACCTAAGGTTTGAGGGAAAAGAGTTTTGAGGATTTCCTCTCGTTTGGTTTGATTCTTTGAGAGTTTATACACTAATGCAACTTTAGGTGGTGCTAGTACTCCATCTTTTTCTCCTAAAGCTTTCTGGGACGTTTTCCTCGGACAGTGAGGTTGGATTGAGGGGGTTGTTGCTGATATTTGACCCTCTGGTATTCCTCAGATTATTTGCTCCATGTGTCTTTGGACAGCCAGCAAATTAAACACTAATTTCTGTAGCAGTGTTATCAAATACTCCCTTTTATATTAGGTTGAAACAAGTCATACTTCCTGTATACTGGGTGTTTGTAACATGCTTCCTTAGTGTTGTAATTCCCTTAGGTTTGTGTGATGCAAGACAATGGACAGATGTAGGGAGGAGTCCACGTTCTGAAGATGTGCTGGAACAATATCATGCCTAACTTAAACCATTACATAGTAGCCCACCCCCACAATAACTTTATACATCAACCCCTCGATGCTCACTTGTTCTTGAAATCCTCCACCAGGCCCTGCATGTTGTGCAGGTCGGCCTCCAGCTTGATCTTGTCGTTGCCCAGGCTGTCCAGCTGTCTGCGCAGGTTGGTGATGTAGGCCTCGAACATGGCGTCGATGTTGGAGCGGGTGGTGGTCTGTCCCTGCAGCAGGTTCCATTTGGTCTCCAGCATTTTGTTCTGCTGCTCCAGGAAGCGGACCTGATGTTGAGAAACGGAGAAAAAAAAGCAAAAGTTGAAAAAGACTTACTGACCTACATTTCTGTTTATTCTCAATCATGTGATGAAATCTTCCTTGTCACTGGTCGGGAAATATTACAAAACTCCCCTCTGAAGAGTAATGTCTCCGAATAACATGGCTTTGAGGTTAATGCCCTATTAATTAATAATCAGGATCAGCCTCACAAGGCCTCCTGCTCTCCATTTATGGTCTTTGTTCTCGGTGCTTTGTAGGAGAGAGCTGACTATTTTGGTTGTTTTTGTTTTCTTTTTCCAGACGGGTCATCAGGAAAGACTGTGTGAGATATGTGCATCCTGACTGGGGGGACGGGGGTGGAAAAATAAGGCAGTGATGGGGGAATGGCGCATGTTAACCCTTCTCCTTCCTGTTTTTTATAAAGCGGTGGAGAAAGGGGAGTGGCAAAGCCTCGTCCACTGGCAGATGCAGAAGGGTAAATATTTAACCGTGTGATAAAGCTTTGATGAAGAAAGAGTGGCGAGCTGACAGCGAGGGGTGATTTATTTGTCGAAGAGGTGGGGGCGTTTTGAATTTTTGTGAACAGTAAAGGCAGATAAACCGTGGACGTTGCACTCCGATGATTGGATCTGATCACCGCCTGCAGTGTTTATTCAAACTTGACAATAAGGGCGTTGAGGTGACTCCGAAGAGAGAAAAGAGATGTGCGAAGCGCTCCGTCTCTTCTTTGAACCGCTCTGTCCAGAGGAGGAGAGTTGATACGTTGCCAGTCAGCCGGCAACCAGAACATGAAACCAACTTTTTAAATATTAACCCGCCTCGGAGACCTCGGGGGACCGATACTCTCCTGTGTGCACAAACACCAGGACAGAAGCTGATTTTAAAGATTAAAAGTTGATCTATTCATACAGCCAGTGGACACTCCTTATATAGTATGTCAGTGTAAAAAAAAAAGGCATTGTGGTTAAAGTAACAAGAAGCACTCATTACTGACTGTGTGTGTGTTTGGAAGGAGTGGAGGCCAACAGGGCAGCAGAAAAGGCCACACCCCAGCTAAGGGAGGGACCATTCCCAAGGTAACTCATATCACAAGCGCTGAGCTCTGCCCGACACACCCTAAAGCTTTTTTTTATTCTCAGTATCTTTTTTTTCTTCTGAGGATGTCTGTTTTTCATTACTACAAAAGCCAGAAAGCCATGGGGGCCAAACCCTGAGCTGCCTGTGTCTCATTTGTGGGCGGTGAGGGGAGCAGAAAGCATAAATCAATGTTCTTTTTTTGCAGAACAAGTGACAAAATCAGCGTTACACTGCATGTGATAAACACATGGGCTGGTATCCAACGTTGCCTAACCGTGTCACATCTGTGAGACATCTTTAAAACACTCTGACTGGACTTTGACACTTGCAAAAGTGTTTTGGGTCGACTTGAATCGAGTGCTTTTATCTCGGGGCCCTTACCTTGTCAATGAAGGAAGCGAAGCGGTTGTTGAGGGTCTTGATCTGCTCTTTCTCCTGGGTGCGGACAGCTTGGATGGTGGGGTCGATCTCGAGGTTGAGGGGGGCCAGCAGGCTCCTGTTCACCGTCACGGCAGTGATGGGGGCCTGGACGATGCCGGCTCCTCCAAAACCCATGCCCATGCCCATGCCTCCTGCACCTGAGCCGCCCATCTGCGAGCTCAGGCTGTAGGCAGAGCTGCTGGTGATGCCAGCTCCTCCGAAGCCGGCGCCAGCTCCTCCGAAGCCCCTGCTGCCTCCACTCCCATAGGAGCTCCTCACTGTGAAGGTCTTGCGGGAGGTGATGCCCCCTGGTCCTGCATAAGAGCTGCTGCTGAAGTTCCTTGGGCCAGCAGAGCTCCTGTAGGAGGTGGATGTGGTCTTGAAAGACATTCTGAAGTTGTCTTTTTTTTTCTTCTTTTGAATGAAAAGGGCTTTGGGATGATCAACTGGCTCGGTTGGCAAGGCAGGCAGACAGGCAGGCCAGCAGAGGAAGAGACCAGAGAGGGTAGGCAGAGGGGAATATACCGAGGAGTTTTAAAGCCTGCCCTTGTTGTGGGAGGGAACTTGTTTCAGCCACGATTGGCTGCCGATCTGGGTGAGAGGGAGGACTGAGCTGTAACTTTACACCTCCATGACACACCGTCCAGTCAAAAAACCTCCTCTTTTTTTTCTTTTCAGGCTTCCCTAAACAGAAAAACTTTGCCCCCTTGGATAAGGGGAGGAATGAGGGGGGAGTGATACTTCTTCACTCTCACTGTATGTTAATGCATGACATCATGTGAATGCGTTCGGCCTGCAGTTGTTTACAGCTGAGTGTCAGGGTGCCCGGTTCAATGTGACGCAGATCTCTTCTGCAAGATCACACAATGAAGGTGGAATGTGATTTGCACTGCTGTTAATCCGGACCAATAAGCTTTCCAGTACAGCCAGTTTGTTGTGATTTACATATTGAAATTAGGACTCAGCCTGGTTAGACGGTTGAAAACTCACAGCAGCCTGCATGTGATCTTTCAGCGTTTCAATTTATCTGTAATAAATAAAAGATGTTAAAAGAAGTTTAGTGTTATCATTCACAGCGAGCACCCTCATAACTTATATTAAAAAGTGTATTATCAGATATTTGCACCTTTCCTGTTTGAAGTGATACTAAAACCAACAGATTATGGTGATTACCTGGCTTTAGACTGTTGACTTCTGGTTTTTCTTTACAAAGCCAGCCTGAAACGTAGCGTAAAATATCTATCCAGACTTCTTTTTACTAAAGTCACACTTGACAACTTGTGAATATTTTAAAGGGGCAATATCATATAAAATAAACTTTTTTGAGTTTTATATCATGTTATAATGTTATACTCTCATAAAAAAACATGTCCAAAGCCTTGCTCTGACTCATTCATGCATGTTTGAGAAATCCTGCAGCGTTTTTATGCAGCCATGCTGAGGAGCAAAACGACAGGTGGGGACCA